TGTTTGTGCTTATTCAGATTTTTGGAGAAACCTTTGTTACTTCGGTATACATGCTTTGCATTTCGGTATTTAGAACTGCATCCTTTTGAGATAGTCTCTTTTAGGGTAGTTTATGTAACAAGGTATTCAACTTTCTATGTTTTCTTCTTGTACTCCTTTCCCGGTTTTCGTCGGCTACTACATTACTTTGGGAATATGTTTCTAAATGGTTTAGCCACTTCTCGAAGGTATTTTTCATAGTTTTTTTTCGTAACCTGTGTGGCACACGTTCTAGCGTAGGAAACAGTATAATAGCATTTTGCTATAAATACAACATTTATGTGTTTTAAAAATTAGGATACATCTACTTTAGAGATGACTGACACATCCTAAATAAACCTTTCACATTGAACATCTCGTGTTAATGGGATCGGAATTCTTTGCTAACCTCACTTTCCATTATCCGCAAATGGGCAAATTGGAGTTGTAAGCCTACTCATGACAAGGTCAATTTTCGTTTTGGGTAAAGCCATTACCGTCTAATTAGTGTAGATTATTTAATGAAAGACACAGCAACAGTAGTTTTCTCACCAATTGCTCCTTCTTTTGAAGCCGCCTTATATTTATTGTTGCTTTTGTGCCAGTTAAATTAAGTCTCCACTCTGAGAGCTGACAAAATGTACCTTTTTTATTTTTTTCTAAAAAGGCCTATTTGGCATGCGTGTTTACCAACCGCTTTTCTTTTTGGACTTCAACAGCGCTTGGTACGATCTACTCTTCTATAGTCCTTATCTGAGGAAAATTCTTCCCATGGGACAGCATCTTAAGCTTGTTTTGGTTTTTCTTTGAACTCCTTTTAATAACTGCAGTTTTGATCGTAATACTGGCTCTAACTTAACCGCCGTGGGCACTTATGGTGAACTGCAAAACCATAAATTGATTGTCCAAGAACAGGCGACTTATAATGATCATAAACTTAGCAACTACTTACGATAGGGGCGTAATTAATCATCCGTCTCAGTTTAGACTAAAAAGCCATTATCATTAGTCGCTAACATCACGTATTAACAAAACGGTTACTATAATTGCCATTAGGGCCAATTATATGAGGAAAAGTAAGCCGCTTCTTATCACGTCTCAACAAAATAGATAGATATTGTGTTTGACGCCCACAGCTGTGCGTCGTTCCTCTTCAACTATAAATATAAATGTATTAAAAACTAAATCATTGCATATAATGAAATTCTAGAGCTCCAATTGGCATAGCCATCATGGTATATGAGCCGTTGTACCATGCTCTCCAAATATGGCAACTGTACGCGTATGCTCAAAATTAAAAACAACCTGAAAATCGGTTAATTGTTTTTATAAAAAAGACGGGAGTATTTCTCGATATTTTGTGGCCGTTTTTGATAAAGCAATTATTCCACTTACTCTTGTTGGATATGAGAAGATTGGCGCGTATCTACAAGAGAGGATAAGCTCAGAAAATGAATCCCCCATTTAAAATACCCCAAGATAAAAAGCTCGCATTACTATTCTATTTGTGCCGGAATTACCTTGGATATCAAAGAACGTCCTCTCCTCCAAAAAATGTTGCTGACCGTTAAGAGACATGAGAAAAAAAAAAATTAGAAATTATAATCTGACGGCCAGCTTAGAGGTACACGAGTCCTCGTGGGATAGGTTTGGCCTATTTATGCTTATACGTCGGGCTAGTAGTCGTCATAGCTTTCGTTGTTAATTCATGTTTGTGCTTATTCAGAATTTTGGAGAAACTTTTCTTATTTTGGTATACAACATGTTGTGTATTTCGGTATTTAAACCCGCATTCATCTCAGTCTTCAGTGTTAGAGTAGTTTATGAAAGAAGGTAATTCAACTGTCTATATTATTTGCTTGTACATGTAACCTTTTCCCGGTTTTCGTTGGCTACTGCATTAGATTAGATTGGGAATATGTTTCCATTTGGTTTGGCCATTTCTCAAAGGTGTTTGTTTTCTTAGTGTTTTTCGTAATTTGGGTGCACACGTTCTAGCGCAGGAAATATAACTTATAGCGTTTTGCTGTAAAATACAACATTGATATATTTTAATTAGGATACATCTACTTTAGAGATGACTAACACATCCTAAATAAACCTTTCACATCGAATATCTCGTGTTAATGGGATCGGAATTCTTTGTTAACCCTGCTTGTCAATTATCCGCAAAAGGAAGTTGTAAGCTAAGCCTGCTCAGGACACAATGAATTTTCGGTTTGGGCAAAGTAATTAAAATCAAAATTGTGGATGATTTACTGAAAAGACATATAAGCAGCAACTTAATCATTAGTCGCTACCATCACGTATCAACAAAATAAATAATATACTGATTGCCATAAATTGGTTGACATACACAGTTGTGGGTCGTTCCTCTGCAACTTTAATATAACTGAATTGTACATTAATTAGTCGCTGCCATCAGTTATTAACAAAATGGATATTAGAATTGTGGGTTCAATAGTGTACTTACACAATTTGGCGCCTTTCCTCTTCAGCCTCTTTCCTTATTTATGGCATAATAATAATCATGAACAATAATGATAAACTTAGCAACTACTAACGTGTGGGTGTAATTGATCATCAGTCTCCGTTTAGACCAAAAAGGCATTAATCATTAGTCGCTACCATCACGTATCAACAAAATAAATACTTTACTGATTGCCATTATTTTGGTTGACTACACAGTTGTGCGTCGTTCCTCTTCAACTTTAATATAAATGCATTGTACATTAGTCGCTGCCACCAATTATTACCAAAATAGATACTAGAATTGTGGGTTTAATAGTGGACTTACACAATTGGGCGCCTTTCGGATTTGGTTTTGTTTCGTGCTTGTTTTGTTTTTCCTTTGAAACCTTTTTATCAACGTCACTTGCGATCGTTATACTGGCTCTTACGAATATATCGAATGTAGAGAAGAGAAGTGTGACGTCAGGTTACCAATCTTAGCAAGAGTTATGGATGTCAATCATCTTTCTTGACAGAGACAGCCATTTAAATTGACGAACGATAGAAGAAAAGTATGGGCTACTGTTTTGTTCCCGAGTGCAATCATGCACAGGTAAGTCATATGTGTCAACTAGCAATTCTTTCTTCCTTTTTTTTTGTTGCCATATTTGCAGGACTACGGTTTGTTGGGATACAGAAAGTTTGCTACCATGGCAACGTGACGTAAAGACTTCCTCTCTATTCCGAGGGCAATTTTTCGTGACCTGTAAGCCATAACTTGTAGCTCAAGAACAGGTGACTTTCAATAATTATAAACTTGGCAACTACTAACTATACCGGGCGAAATTCGTCATTCGTCTCCATTTAAATCATTTAGTCGCTACCATGACTAAGAGAGAATAATAACAGATACTATCATTGCCATTGCGGCTTTATTATAGTTGAGTTACAAAATTGTGTGTCGTAAAATCCTCTTTTACTGTACATCGGCGAGCCTTAGAATTAAAACGTTTTATGATTTGTTTTATTTTTGTTTGTTAGTTAGTTAAGTTTTTTTTCCTATTAACCCATTTTCGCTTGCGATCATAAAACTGGCTCTAACTTAATTGACTATTCCATGGGCGCTTTTGTGAACCGTGAGGCCTAAATCGATTTTACCAGTACACGAGCAACTACTAACTGAAATTATTAAAAACTGAATCATTGGATAATGCAATTCTATAGTTCTGATTGGCTTAGCCATCATAGTGTATGAGCCATTATACCATGGTCTCCAAAAATGGTAACAGTACGCTCCTGCTCAAAAATTAAAAACATGCTAAAAATCGTTTGTTTTTACATAAAAAGTCGGGACGAATTCTCGATATTTTGGGGGCGTTTTTAATAGAACAATTATTCCACTCGCGCTTGTTGGATATGAGATGATTATGGCCAACTCGGCGGTACGCGCCTCGTTGGCTGATCTACCATCTTATATCCAACGCGCACTCGTGGAATAATTGTTAAATAATTGTCAGTCTTCTCCATTTAAAAAAAAGAGTTAGAATCTTTATTACAAAACCTCAATTAAAATCCTATTTACAATCAACCTGCTGTTACAAAAAATCTAATTAATTCATCAAAACACTATCTACAGTTCCATCCGTTACAAAAGAAACCCCTCAGCCTTCATTAGAGAACAAAAACAATCCCATATATAATAAGTGAAGAAAGAAACTATTCATTTACAAATTCTAAAAAATAGAAGTAATTCAACCTTACATAAAAGAAGAGGAAATAGATACAATTAATAATAAAAGTTCAAAATTCTATAAAATAAAGAATTCCATTATGCAGAGATATTAAGATCATACAATCGAATTATACTAATGACGGCTAAACCAGTGTCCATAAAAAGCCCTAAGTATAAAAGCATATAGACACGTATTTCAGATATCCGCACTAGCGACATTTATTTTACAGTCTAATGATTGCTCTATCTTGCTACGAAACGGCGTTCGCGAACCTCTGACGCATGCATGTACCGATCTTAAGAGTTCAAACGAGATCTGTGTCCTGAGCCAAGTGATTACAACACGATAAGGCTCGGTGTCTTTCTGAGCTATCTTGTCTGCGAGATGCTTTAAGAACCGCTGACACTCGTTACCCATTCCGCCATTGGTTCCAAACACTAAAGGCGTAAACGAACACATTTCCACATCCAACACCCGCTGCTGGTACTTGCGCTTCTTCTCTTCTTCTTGCTCTTTGAACACTTCCGATGTTGGCTTGCTCTGGTAACACTTGGAGTTGACGTGCGTAACTCTAACATCAAAAAATGCCGTAACTCCTCTTGCCCAGAAACCTCCCGCTTTGATGTCCAATCTTGCCTCAGAACTTGTAACAGCGCTCCTCAAATGAAATCGCTCGTTGTCCAGGGGTTGAAGGCGTGGTTCGATTTCGACATTATTGCAGATCTTGTCGATGAATGTCGTTAACAAGTTCCGTACACCGTCATGTCTCTGCGCTACAAACCCCCCCTTTTTACAAGAGAGGGCGTGACTAACGATGAATTTATCCCCACATATGCAATGACTTGGTAAATCGACTAAGGGCAAGTCATAACGCAAGCGTAGCGAGTCTCCGAACTCTTGCTTGTTGAGGGCGAAACCTTTGTCTGCGAGAAGCATCGCATTCAGCCAAGAACTTGCGCCTTGTCCCTCGATTGATTAACCAGACGCAGCAGGCCTGGGGAGAGGCTTGAATCAATGCTATCCATTTTCTCTTTGGCACTTGCTCTCTTAAGTGATTGTTGATGCCTCTGTAGCTCCTCCGTAGATCTTTCTCCTGGCACCATGATGGAACTCTGTGAAGTAATAGAATCTACCTGCGCGGTGGTTATTAGTCTCGAGGCAGCAAACTGCTGCGGTGCCTCGGATTTCAGATCAGGAATGCCTAGACCCCCTTGACCCGTTGCTAAGGTAGCAAGTCTGCGCACCTCGTTAGGGAGAGGCTCTGATTGACCGAACAAAGTTGGGAGTAGTAAATCTTCAATCACTTCCTGGATTGGATCGACATAAACTTTAAACGATCCAATTGTGCGCATGAAGTAGGTGAACTTCGACTTGTAGCCTTTTGTGAAAGCAATATACGCCGCATGGGGCTGGCTCTTAGCTATTTCAGAGAGACGTTCGATTTCCTCTTTCCATGCACGAACCTTCTCCTCACAATACTGATCTTTGTATTCTTGCGACGCAATAACTGCTGCCAGATGGCGCTGACCTTCAGTCGTTATGTTGACTTCCTCTCCAAACACCCTCTTTGCTTCCTCCGCGAGTTCCAACTTACTCAATATCCCACAGTTTTCAGTCAAAAACTTGTCGGAAGTTCGACCACCCCATGCCTCAGAAACATAGGAAATGGTACCTTGTGGGGTGATACCAATTAGCACCTTGATAGTGTTGTGGTGCTTGTAGGAACTGAATGTTTGTGCTCTAGCAAGGAAAATTAGTGGGTTTTTCAATGAAAATTTCGAAGCAGTCAATTATTACAGTAGTTTTTGTTCCAAAGCTGAACTTGAAGCATTGTGGCATTGTTCTTATAAGACTCACGATCAGGCCAGTGGACAAATGGCGATAACCTTATGTCCATAGTCATCAACCAAGAATGAAATGTCCTGGATACTGTAGGAACTGAGATGTTGAAGCGATAAGCTAGGTCTTGAAGTGGTACATCTAATCTCAACTTAACCAGGACCATAACAAATTCTTGAAAAGGACTCAGTGATTGAGAGCGACGAGAAACAGACGGTGACACGAGTTCAAACACAAAGTTCAGAATTTCATATGATGGAAGACCAGTGTAAAACAGCACTTTATCGTCGCTATTCCTGAAATTCTCTTCGTCAAATTCGATGACTTTTTTGTTTGACGCAAATAAATAATCAAAGTCCTCTGTCTGTGAGGTTGCATCATAAAATTTACGGCGTAAAACGTCAGTCTGAGTACACATCTCGCCAAAGCTTTTGACTTCGGTCTGACAACTTTTCTCATTTTCAGCAATGTCTTGATCGGCGAAGGAAACATCAATTTCCTCTGTTTCTTGAGTTTCTTCTGTTAATAAACCCAGATCACCGCTTAAAGGCGTAAAGGATATATTGGATGCTTGAGTTCCTTCATCATTCAAGCGAAGTTTCTTCTCCTCGATCTCTACTTTTGTTTCGTTCAACTTCTTCTTCCGTCTAGCTTTAGCTCGCTCCGCCCGATCCTGATCTGCTGTACTGCTATCTTTCTTTTTTCTCTTTGAATGTCCCAGATTTAGCGTTGGCACCCAGTCAACATTGAACCTATCAAAGTCTTTTGCGGGCTTACCTGAGACGAAATGACGGCTACAAACACGGTCATTTTTTAGGATTTGCTCCGTCAAGTCATCTCTGCTTATAGCCGCTATCCACTGCGTTCGACGCTCTATTGAACGCTCCTCGGCTTCCTTGCCATGATTAGTATCAATTGAAGGTACTCTAAAGAAAGAAACATCTTTATCTCGCCCGCTTCTTGCGTGGCAATCCACAAATAAGCACAGAACCATCACGACTTACTTCGCAATATGAGCTTTACAGTGTTTGTTTGTACACCAACATGGCGGATAGCAACCGTTGTCAGGACTTTGGTCACGTGGGTGAAAACCGAGAATAGGCCAGCTCTTTGTCTCATTCACAAGGTAACCAAACTTTTGACCTTCCTTACTCAATTGCCTGTACCAGTTGTATAACTGCACTATACTCCCTCCTCCAGCTGAGTCATCTGCGAGCCACACCTGTTTAACCAAGTGCGTACCATGGCATCGCTAGCGGATCTCCTTGTGTGGTGCCTTCTCGACACACACACACACAAATAAACAGTCTAAATGGGCTTCTATATGTGTTAATAACATAGAGCGCCATTTCTTTGCACATGATCTGGATATTGTGTAAGGCCGCTGACCTATTCATTTGGTTAAAAGCGTTACTAGCATCAATTAGCAATATTCCATCTGTTCCTTCTTCAACAAACACTCGACTCATTGCATGGATCGCAGCCTCCGCTCCTGCATTATGACCAGCGCAAACTTGTAGGGGACCCGCCGCTTCTTTTATTTCCTACTTTAAGAAACCGCTGACCGTTTTCCCCACTATTCTCCTTAGTACCTCTCCAACACCAATAGGTCTGATTGCCGGGTCCTTATCAAGCGGGATGAGCCTGCAGGACGTAAAGGCTTCAATTAAGGATGGGTGGTACGATTTCCTCAGCAGATTTCTCGTGAACACGGCTAGCTCTTCTCTCAATATTTTGCCCTCGGTCTTGAAATTCTTAGAGCACAGGATTCTCCTATACAGCTCTGCGTCCATTCCAGATGGTCCGGCTGAGCCCTTGGTTTTACTTGCCGAGTTGTAGATCGATTCTTCGTCTATGAGGTCATAAACATTTGGCGGAATATAATCAATTGGGCCATGTAACAAACTCTCCTCTGCGATATCAGCTGCCTGTGGGTGCTTGTCCTGTAGCCCTTGCAGGACATCTGGCGATAGGTCGAGCAGACCGGACGAGCTCTCGTTATCTAGGAGTTTCATTGCAGCTGTCAATTTTCCTTGCAGAACCAGCTTTGAGAAGGCTTTGGATATGTCTTCAACCTTTCTAGGTTTCTTGGAATTCACAAATTTCCCTTGAAAGAACCTCACTTCTTTAAGCAGCAAATCAATGTCCTCTTGAATACATTAGACGCTGCCATCACTCAATAACCAAACTGAATCAACAATTACCACTGTGGGTTTAATAGCTGACAAACGCAATTATTCGCCGTTCCTCTTTAACTATATATAGGCGAGCCTTTAACTCAGTTTAAGGATGTCATGAAAACTATGGTATTTCTAAAACATTTTATGGATTTCTGATTATTTTTTCCTGTCAGCTTCAGTAACAACAGGAGGAACTGAGAACTCTGGATTGGACTTCCAGTCGCCATTTTTTAAAGGTAGTCAGCCGTTATAAGTGACCCTTTGGTTTTTTAAGTGAAGGGCGGTGTTTTTAGTGTCTTCGCTTTCAATTTTCTATTGTATTGTATGTGTAATGCATGTGACAATGAAAAAACATGTTATGCTCGCCGGTTTAGACAGCCTCTTGCTTCTGAGAATCTCTGTGTCACAGTTATTATCGTCATGTTGCTTTGAATCATTTTATTTTTAATCTTTTTTATTCTCATGACAAGTTTGGTTGGTTTCTCGTTCTTGAATGATAACGCATAGAGAAAATCAGAAAAGCTTGACTAAACTCTCTTGTTCAAAAGCTTTGTTCATGCGGAATGAAATAAATTTCGTTCACTATGACTATAAGAAGGCTACCACTCTTTCATGGCATCCCTGGCTGTTCCGTACAAGTTCCTTTTCCACAGCGTTCATGCTTTTTTTTGATAATTATTTTGGTAGAGCACACATTTAACCTTACGCAGCAACCAAACATTTGAAAGAAAATTGAACTAAAAATGGATATGAAATTTTTTAAAGAGCGCTTTTTCCCCAAATGTTCTAGTGGCTAAAAAATAAGCAAGTGGAAATTTATGAATTAAATCAACTTCCTAACACTGAACATGATAACAACATTTAGGCATATTATTGTGTTCTTTGATCAGTACATAAAAGCCGCTAAAACTTTTTATCAAAATATTTAGCGCACGTTATGCTGAATGCGGAACAATGCGGGTGTTTCAATATTTCTTTTGACAGACTCAAAGCATTTACACACCAATAAAAATGCAAGTATTTGGTCAAAATTGGGCTTCACTTGTCTCAAACTGGATCTCTCTACGATATAAAGAAATTTTCTCTGATAAAAAGAGGCGTTCCGTTTCTCTGTCACTACTAAATAGGCAGCAGAAAACCTAGAAAAATAAAGTAAACTAATAAAACAAGGCTGAATACCAAACGACAGTCCCGCTAAAATTTCTAATAATTATACATAATTATGCGAATATTTGGTCAATCAACCAGTCAAAATCTCTACCCGGTTTTCGGGTAGTGACTTCACTAGACTGCATTAACGGCCGGTCGATTCAGATGTTACTGAGACAGTAAAAACGACTCGAAGTAATCGTCTGAAATTCAGGCTAGCTTATTCCTGGGTAAAAGAAAACACAAGAGCTTCATTAGATAAGCCATGTTGTCAGTTGCTACACTTGATTAGTGGGACGTCATTTTTAAACTTTATCGCTCAGTTCCCGTCGAACATTTATTAAAACTTTCAGTGAATCTCATTGTCATTCAGACATATATTTAAAAGACAGCCCCGACGTCCGTTCACTAATTACACCACATACAATTCAGTGTTTTAAATATATAATAAAGTCACTCTTCTCTCAGAAGATAAATAAATTTAAAAGCTGATTAGAGAGGGTAGTTTGTGACGGACCAAACAAACATGATAGTAATAGAAGTTAAATGAAAAAAAAAAAACGTTTCGTGTATTCATGTACCGCCTTATAATACGCATATATGGCTTTATCTATATAACAGATTGATATCTCTTTTTATTTCCCTCTTTTTCAGACCCTCCAACCTACGCTACAGATCTTCCGATCAACATCGTTGAGTATATAAACAGCTTCTATACAGAGAAAGCACTTTCCCGTTAAAAAAGTCTGATATCACCAATTCAGTTCGAAGAGCACATAAGCCGCGCCAGTTTATCTTTGTTAGGCGGCAATTGAAAGTTTTTGACTGTCTTGTAGGTACAAAGGCTAAAACGTAGCTTATAAGTACAAAAAAAAAATGAGAAAAGTTGGCATTAGCTTCACACCATGTGTCCTATTCCTATCATTGAATCTGGTCCATCTCCAGGCTCTTTTTAACGCAAGTGATGTGCTGGTTTCGACAGTAACAAATTTTTCATCGTTTGTATCAAACCCAACAGCCACTCCTCACACGGCAACGTCTCACGTGTTAACCTCCCAAACGCCGGATCCAGTTTCTCGATGCAAAGAGAAATTTTCCTGCTGGAATAAATGCGAGAACCGTTCTACCCAGTGGGATGAGATAGACAGCCAAGAAAAAAGTGAAGAACACTGCTATTGCGATCAAGCTTGCCTCACGTATCATGACTGCTGTTCTGATTACACACGTTACTGTCAGCCCTTAAGTCCAGTACCTCAAGGAATGGATAATGCAAATTATATCTCCAGCAAGATATCCACTGAGAAAAAAGTTGCTACAGGTGTTTTCATGATATCAACTTGTGCAGCGGGTTGGCAAGACAAAGAAGTGCGTTCGAAATGTTTGTCAGGGGCAAACGCCACGAATCGCACATTCACGTCGGCGAACGTCTTAGAAGGCATTCCAGTGACATTTTTTGACCCTCTTAGACAAGGAATCCATTATAGAAATATGTATTGTGGTATTTGCAATAACGTGATAAAGTTCTTGCTCATATTTTGGGAGCTAAAATTTCGATGCAATATAAAACCACCCCAGGGCTTCAACAACACTCAAACATTGGACTACATGCTTAAGTACTGTCCAACAAGAGTCGTTTTACCACCTGAACAATTTAAAGTTCGAAATTGCTTACCAATTGTATCTTCATGCTCCATAGAGAAGCAAACTCAGCACAAAGATGGTTGTTTGAAGAGTACAAGTGGAGTTGTCTTTGAAGGGGAGGCCTTGAAGAATTACAAGAACTATTATTGTGTGCATTGCAATGGGTTATCAATGACAAACGCAAGCTGCGGCCCTCAAGAACCATACCTTATCTTTGAACCTAAATCATTCGAAATAGTCATGAAATTTGAACCTTTGACCACTAACCAACTAAAAATTAAGCGTACGAAAGTCATCTCGACCTGTCCACAAGACAAGGTTTACGACCCACATCTGGAAACCTGCAGGATTGGTTACGTTCCTAATCCTTTACACGCAATTCGCGACAAGTATCGCGTGAAGTTTTGGATGCATCCTTTGGATGGTCAAATGAGACCTGTTACACCTGACCAATTTAGTATCGCTTTCTGCAAAACTTTTGCACTAGATCCATCACAAATCGACGAAATTGTATTTGCCTCTGAGGATAATTCCAAAGCGGTAGCTTTCAATTTGTACGCAGGGGCTTCTTCCAGAATAAATAACTTGACACATACGCCTTACAAAGACAACATGGATGTGTCTGTTTTGTTCAGTTTCAACGAATCCTTTGAGATCAACATTAATAACAAAACATGGGAGGTCATTCGCGTCACTGAAAGACAACTAGCCTGCGTGGAATCAGTGGAATACTCTCCTGGAGAGTTTACACTTTTACCAACAGGTCAGGCCGAAATAAACAAAACAGGGCAAACTTTGCCTTTAAACCGCCTTTTTGTTGTTAACGACGGTAGCAACAATACAAGTCTCTTCGTGTGCAAATCAAAGTTTACTGTTCAATGTTCATTTCTGCTATTGCCATTACGCAGTTATGAGTACACCATATTTGCCAACAAAACCTTACTACACATCATTACTGGAAGAGTTTACTCTACGGGAGAGTACGATGTGAATGGAAAAATAGTTATGATTTGCACTAACTACACTAATTACCAAGTGAATTACACCAACACTTCCACCCGGATTATAGAACCTGACATAACTGCCATGACAGAATCCCGTTTTCTGTGGTACTTTACCGTCGTTGGCCTTTTAGTGTCCGTTTTTGCACTGGTCCTAACTATAGTGATCCACTCCATTTTCGTTGAAATGCGAAGGCCTTTGCCAGGAAAAAATCTCATGAGTTTGTGCTTGGCCCTCACCCTTGCTCAGTTCACGTGGATGTTAGGCACCGGAGACACCGATAAACCAACCTTTTGTACCGCAGTGGCGGCCGTCATCCATTACCTTTTCCTGGTATCATTTGCATGCATGGCCATCATAGCCTTCGACACTCGACGTACATTCTCCAGTCAGATTTCTAGAGCTCCAGGGATCTCAATTGGTGGTCAGAAGAAGAATATTCGTTTTTTGAAGTACACCTGCCTTTCCTGGGGCTTACCTATGTTGTTTGTAGGTGGATGCGTTCTTCTTGATCATTTCCAAGTGGTGTTTATCGGATATGGCAATGAAGACGTTTGCTGGCTCGGCAGTAGCGATGGCAAGATCATTGTTTTTGCTGTTCCCATTGCCTCTGTTCTTCTGTACAACATTGGAGCGTTTTCCCATACCATATGGGCCATCAACAGTGCCAGAAAGCAAACAACCCGAGTGAAATCTGCCGTTCAAGATCAAAAGGCCATCCTTAAAATATACCTGCGCCTGGTCACACTCATGGGCTTCACTTGGCTTTTCAGCTTCGGCGCCGAGCTCATACACAAAGCGCTGATATATCCTTTCGTAGTTCTCACAACTACACAAGGGCTATTCATATTCGTGGCCTTTGTCTGCAAGGCCCGAGTGCTAAAGCTGATAAGAGATTCGTTTTCAAGATCCAGAGAAGTTGCCCCTACTCCTCAAATTGCCATCGCAGATCGCAGGAACGTCATACAACTACGGCCAATACAGACACCAGAAGCTAAAGCATTGGAATTGGTCTCTACTCCACAAAGCGCAAATACGCATCGCAGCAGCGTACAACTACGGGCAATACAGACATTATAAGCATCCCTGCCTCTGTGCAAAATAAATCGCTTAAGACTATGCTATTCTCGAAAGTTACAATTTCATGACCCGTGGAGGGTCTCTTTGACGGATGTCAGTCAGCCTATTTCGTTATAGAATTTGAAAGAGAGTTGTTCCTATTGATAAAGGGAGACCTAACAACAGCAATTGAAAGACTTGCGTCTTAGACTTGGGTAGGGAGTTTTGGTTCCTGCCGTAGATTAAATAAATAGCACCATGTAAAGCAAATGTATACCTCAAAAACTGCAAAATACTAAAATGTTACAATTAGAAATCTGTTCAAATAAAGCTTGTTAATTTAACATAAACAACATACAGCCATCCCAAAATGAGCAATAAATTCTTGGAGAAATTTGCATTTTTCCATACTCTGACGCACTTAATCATAACTGTAACAAAATTCTCAAATCTGATTGGCTATCAACTGCCCTGATTTTAGTCTTAATTGGACAATTTAATAGGACAGTACACGTCATGCCTAAGTAATTGGACAGTACGCGAAATCACGCACGCGCTTAAATGGCTTTTTTTCATTACTAGCAAAAAAAATTGGAATTTCTTCTGTTTTGATTTTAAAAAAGGACCTTATATATCGCAAATTTTGTTAAAGTTATGATTAATTCGGGAACAGAACTTCGTGTCGTCCAATTCAGTCTGTAATCATACTCGTGATTAAACAAATCGGACCACCGCTACGCGGTCGTCCGATTCGGTTAACCACTCGTATGATTACAGACCGAATTGGACTCCACTCAGTCCTGTTACTATTTTTTAACGTACTAGGATGTGTCACCATGCAATTAGCTTGATTTGGGCATTGGATGCAGTTGCTTTTCTTTGCTAACGTGAAAATAATCGTCCAAAACGATTCGCCTATAACAGAGGTCAAAATTTATTCAGACCTTGTTGGCATTGGTAGGGTACCCTAGCCACCACTAACCAGAAATTTGCAAAGATAGTCATTTCTGGTTTTGTTACAGCCCTTACAGAAGGTTAAAGAGTTTATTCGTCAAGTAGTTCAAAGTTCAAGATTAATCCGTTTTAAGTTATATTTGGAGCGAATTAACCCTGGGTATATACCGTTAAATGCCGAGGGTGTAAGGCAATAGTCACAACATGAGAGTTTTGTGAAAATACCGATATTGCACGTTTGTATCAACGATGCTGATGTCCATTTTGAGCGTGAAGTATATTAGTGGGAATATATTGTCTGAAATGCACTGTGGAATTATTTTGGGGACGAAACTCCGCTATATCCCAATGGAAATAATAATAATAATAATAATAATGATAATAATAATAATTATAATACTAAAGGGTTCTTGTCTAGGCCCTTTTTATTCACGATGTATGCAAGTAAACTCTTTGAGGTTGTTAAGAACCATCTCCCAAATATTCATGGTTACGCTGATGACACCCAGAAATATTTATCTTTCAAGCCGGACTCTACATATATACTGCAAGGGAAAAAGATGCTATCACTGCTCTTCAAGATTGCATTACAGATATTAGAGGTTGTATGATCGCAGATAGGTTAAAACTGAACGATGACAATACGGAATTTATGATTATTGGCACACACGCTCAATTAGATAAAGTTAATGTATCTGAAATTGTGGTTGACCAAGCAAAAGTGCCAGCTGTAACGATTGTTAGAAACCTCGGGACGTGGCTTGATACGACCTTCACCATGTCTGCACACATAAATGAAACGTGCCAAGCTGCTATTTATCATCTGTATAACATTAAACGCATTAGCAGGTAATTGAGTTATGATGACAGGAAGTCTATAGTTCAAGCAGTTATAATGTCACGCACAGATTATTGTAATAGCCTCTTGGTTGGTGTTCCATCCACCCAGCTAAGTAAATTACAGCGTTTACAAAATGCAGCGGCTCGCCTTGTTAGTAACGTCGCAAAGTATGATAACATTACTCCTACACTTGTAAATTAACATTGGCTTCCAGTAACGTATAGGGTAAATTTTCAGATAGCAATGCTTGCTCATAAGTGTACCTATGGCAACGCACCCGAATACCTTAAGGATCTAATAAAAGTTAAGGGTACGACCAGATATAATCTTAGATCGGACGGATAGATGTTACTCGAGGATTATAGTGCACGATCAAAGAAGACACTTGGAGACAGGACTTTCAAAGTAGCCGCCCCTAGAATCTGGAACATTTTACCGAAGGACATTAGGAAACAGGACAACTATTATACTTTTAAGAAACAGCTGAAGACTTACTATTTTAAACTTGCATACAATTTTTAATTATACATAGGTGTATATTAATTTTACTCCCTTTTTTATCAATTTTAATGAAACATATAACATTTCTTTTAGTTATAATTATTGTAAGTAATAGGTTAAGTACTAAATAATTAAGTTAGGTATCATTTACAGATATATTCATGTTTAATTCGATAATTGATATATGTTTTAGTTGCTTTAATAGTTTGTAATGCGCATTTGCTCATTTGATATATGTCAATTTGCGCAATACCAAATAATAAATATCATTATTATTATTATTATTATTATTATTATTATTATTATCATTATTATCATTATTAAAGAAGAGGAGGAGGAAGAAGAAGTAGAAGAATGAGAACTTTATTTATCCTAGGCAGTATTTATAACGCCAATGCTATTGGATCGGAACAACAGTTGAAACAAAAACGAAATAAAGACACTAACTTCCACAAGGTAAACCAGTTGGCTATTTAAAAACGTGATTGAAGATTTGGAGCATAAATCCAGCTAGCGGTTATGGTGGGACTTGAAGCCACCTGATGGCACTGCGTACAGCGCTCTAACCCCTCGGCCACGCTATGCACTTCGTCACAGCATCCAGCCTCATCCTCAAAAATGGCAAGTATCTAATGACATATCAGTTGTTGATGACTTATCCCTAAAATAGCTTTGCACCTTTGCATTGTAGATATACCCTCTAATCTGCAAGGCTACAGGAAGTTTCGCTCTCTCTATCGATGGCATCTCACCATTGGACCAGCTTATTTATTCTCTGACTAATAATTACGATCAAACTGTAATAGGTAATCAAATAAAGATAACCTTAGTAGAAGCGTATAGAGGTTTGATTTTAACGGAGTACCAGAGTGACGTTCTCATCGATTATAAGAATGTACAACAGTTAATCTAGAGCAGAATACAATTGATTGAGCATGAATGATTGAGCTCGACTGAGTTTTATGTATTTCCGATCCTTGTCCAGTAATAATATAAATTAGTGTTAAACATGTAATCAGTATTACATGTTTGCCTTTTCTTGGTAATACTGAACATGTTTGCCCACCTACCCCTCCCCTAAGCTAACATTAGCACTTATTTCTCACTTTGGGCACTTAGGGGAGGGGTAGGTTGGCAGTTTCCCAGAAACCTAAATTGATCCGAATTACCTTGGATATCAAAGAACGTGCGCGTCCTCTCCTCCAAAAAATGTGGCGGACCGTTGAGAGACATGGGAACAAATCATTTATAAATTATAGTCTGACAGCCAGCCAAGAGGTGCCCAAGTCCTCGTTGGATAGTTTTGGCCTATTTATTCTACGTCGGGCCACAGTCGTCTTTTTCCTGTTAATTCATGTTTGTGCTTATTCAGATTTTTGGAGAAACATTTCTTATTTCGTTATACATGCTGTGCATTTCGATATTTAGAACTGCATCCTTTTGAAATGATCTCTTTTAGGGTGGTTTATGTAATTGCTTGTACTCCTTTCCCGGTTTTCTTTGGCTACTGCATTATTTTCGGAATATGTTTCTTAATGGTTTAGCCACTTCTCAAAGGTGTTTTTCTTAGTGTTTTTCCGTACCTTGTGTGGCATACGTTCTGTCTAGCGTAAGAAATATAACAGCATTTTGCTATGAATACAACATTTATGTATTTTAATTAGGATACATCTGCTTTAGAGATGACTCATACATCCATTGAACAACTCGTGTTAATGGGATCGGAATTCTTTGCTAACCTCACTTTTCAATTATCCGCAAATGGGCAAATTGGATTTGTAAGCCTACTCATGACACGGTCAATTTTCGTTTTGGGCAAAGTCATTTCAATCAAAAGTGTGGATGATTTAATAAAAGACACATAAGCAACAGTAGTTTTCTCACCAATTGCTCCTTCTTTTGAAGCCGCCTTATATTTATTGTTGCTTTTGTGCCAGTTAAAGTCTCCACTCTGAGAGCTGGGAAAATGAACCTTTTTTTTTTTCTAATTTGCCTATTTGGCGTCTTTGGCTTTTTAAGGAAGCAGCTGTTCAGTATATTTGAAAACTGCGTGTTTACCAACCGCTTTTCTTTTTGGATTTCAACAGCGCTTGGTACGATCTACTTCTATAGTCCTTATCTGAGGAAAATTCTTCCCATGGGACAGCGTCTTAAGCTTGTTTTGGTTTTTCTTTGAACTCCTTTTAATAACTGCAGTTTCGATCTTAATACTGGCTCTAACTTAACCGCCGTGGGCACTTATGGTGAACTGCAAACCATAAATTGATTGTCCAAGAACAGGTGACTTTCAATAATCACAAACTTAGCCACTACTTACTATTGATTATCCGTCTCCGTTTAGACCAAAAAGGCATTATCATTAGCCGCTAACATCACGTATTAACAAAACGTTTGTTTTCTTAGTGTTGTGCGTCGTTCCTCTTCAACTTTAATATAAATGCATTGTACATTAGTCGCTGCCATCAATTATTAACAAAATATAGATACTAGAATTGTGGGTTTAATAGTGGACTTACACAATTGGGCGCCTTTCTTCTTTGCCTGTACATGGCATGCTTTTAACTAAATAACTTTTATTTGGTTTTGTTTCGTGTTTGTTTCGTTTTTCCTTTCAAACCTTTTTATCAACGTCACTTGCGATCCTTATACTGGCTCTTACTAATATACCTTATTATAGGAAATTAACGCTACATGAAATTAACGCGAATCGTTAAAATTCGCGTTA